TTGTGAATTGTGTAGCAGTAAACATGCATACAGGCGTCTTTTTGATACAGTGACTGCTTTTCCTTGGGGTAGATGTCCAGTAGTGAAATTGCTGGATCAAATGGTAGTTCTACTTTTAGTTATTTGAGAAATCTTCATACTGTTTTTCATAAAGGTTGTGCTAATCTACATTCCCACCAACAACGTGTAAGTGTTCCCTTTTCATGGCCTCCACGCCAATATTTATTGGCTTTTGACTTTATATTAATGGCCATTCTGGTTGGGCTCTTGGGATTTTTTACACCATTCTAATAGGTATGTGATGGTTTCTCATTTTGATTTTAATTTACATTTCCCTAATGTCTAATGATGTTGAACATTTTTTCTCATGTTGATTTGCCATCCATACATTCTTTTGTAAAATGACAAAATCTTTTGCTAATTTTTATTTTTTATTGCACTGTGTAAGTTCTTTGTATACTCTGGTTACAAGTCTTTCTATGATGTACTGTTTTGTGAAAATTTTTCCCCAGTCTTGGCTTGCGTTTTCATTTTCATAATGGTGTCTTTTGAAGCACAAGTGTTTTAAATTATAACAAAATACAATTGATCATTTCTTTTTTCTGTGTCTTTTCTTTGTGTATCTAAGAAATCTTTGCCTAATCTAAGGTCACAATAACTTTCTTTTATATTTTATTCCAGAATATACAAAATCACTTCCTACATTTAGGGCTATGATTCATCTTGAGTTAATGTTTGTATCTGGTGTGATGTCAAGTTCCTTTATTTATTTATTGCACATGGATGTTCGATTTTTCCAGCACATTTGTTAAAGAGGCTATCCTTTCTTCACTGGATTTTCTTAGGAGTTTTGTCAAAAATCAGTTGACCATGTTTGAGTGGGTGTATTTCTGACCTCTTTATTTCATTCTGTTAAGCAATAAGTGTATCCTTTAACTAATACACACTTTTTTCACTACTGCAGCTTCATAGTAAGCTTGAAATCAAGTAATATGAGTTATTTAACTTTCTTCTTTTCCAAATTTCTTTAGCTAATCTAGATCATTGCAATTCCATATAAATACACATGTACACACAGATATACATATATAGAACTATATATATTTATATATAAATAACACACATATATGTATATTTTTATACACACACATACACACACCTCAATTTAGGTATATATATACATGCACACATATATGTGTGTGTGTGTATATATATATATGTGTATATATGTATACACACACATAGATATGTATATATGCATATATCCAGCATATGTATGTATATGTGTGTGTTATTTATATATAAATATATATATTATATTATAGTTTATATTATACAGAAATATAGTCATTTATATATAAAGATACTATAGTTTATATTTTATATACATATATGCTTGCCAATTTCTACAAAACTGCTATTGGGATTTTGGTTAACATTGCAATGAATCTATAGGTTGATTTGGAGAGAACTGACGACTTAATACAGTGACTCTTCTGATCCAAGGACATGTAATCTCTCTCCACGTGTGGAGCTTTCGTTTTCTTTCTTGCAGCCATGCTGGGGAGCTTTTTAGTTTATAGGCCTTGCACCTATCTTGTTAAATTTATCCCCCAGTAGTTTCTATTTTTGAGGCTATTGTGCAGGCATACCTGGTTTTATTGTGCTTTGCTTTATTGTGCTTCGGAGATATTGTGTTTTTTACAAATTGAAGGTCTGTGGCAACTCTGTGTCGAGGAAGTCTATCAGCATCATTTTTCCAATAGCATGTGCTCACTTCAGGTTTTGGTGTCACATTTTGGTCATTTTTGCAATATTCCAAACTTTTTCATTATTATTGTATCTGCTATGATGATTGGTGATCAGTGATCTTTGATATGATTATTGTAATTGTTCTAGGGCACCAATGAACTGCACCCATATAAGACAGTGAACTTAATGAATGTGTGTGTTCTGACTGCTCCATCGGTTAGCCATTTCTCCTTCTCTCTCCCTTTCCTTGGGCTTCTATATTGTCTGAGACACAGCAACATTGAAATTAGGACAATTAGTAACCCTACAGTGGCTCCTAAGTGTTCAAGTCTCTCATTTTAAATCAAAAGTTAGAAATGATTAAGCTCAGTGAGGAAGACATGTCAAAACAGAGATAGATAGGCTGAAAGCTAGGCCCTTTACACCACAAAGCCAAGTTGTGAATGCAAAGAAAAAGTTTTTGAAGGAAATTAAAAGTGGTACTCCAGTGAACACATGAATGTTAAGAAAGCTAAACAGACCTGTTGCTGATATGAAGAAAGTTTTAGTGGTCAGGTTAGAAGATCAAACCAGCCACAACATTCCCTTAAGCCAAAACCTAATCCAGAGCAAGCCCCTAACTCTCTTTAATACTGTGAAGGCTGAGAGAGATGGAGAAGTTGCAGAAGAAAAGCTGGAAGCTAGCAGAGGTTGGTTCATGAGGCTTAAGGAAAGAAACCATCTCTATAACATAAAAGTACAAGGTGAAGCAGTGAGTGCTGATGAAGAAGCTGCAACAAGTTACCCAGAAGATTTAGCTAAGATTATTAATGAAGGTGGCAACATTAAACCAAAGATTTTCAATGGAGACAAAACAGACTTTTATTGAAAAAAGATGCCATCTAAGACATTCACTGCTGGAGAAGAGAAGTCAATGCCTGACTTCAAAACTTCAAGCACAGACTAACCCTCTCATTAGGGGCTAATGTAGCTGGTGACAATAATTACAACCAATGCTCACCAGATATTCTGAAAATTCTAGGACCCATAAGAGTTATGCTAAATTTATTCTGCTTGTCCTCTATAAATGAAACAACGAAGTATGAATGACAGCTGCTTTGTTTACAGCATGGTTTACCAAATATTTTAAATCCATTGTTGAGAACTACTACTCAGAAAAAAAAAGATTTTTTTGTTTTCAAAATATTGTTGCTCATTAACAAAGTACTGGGTTTACCTGAGAACTCTGATGGAGACGTACAAAGAAATTAATGTTGTTTTCACAGCTGTTTAATACAACATCAGTGTTACAGCCTATAGATCAAAGTGTAATTTCAAATTTCAAATCTTATTATTTAAGAAATACATTTTGTAAGGCAATAGCTGCCATTGATAATAATTCCTCTGACAGATCTGGACGATATAAATTGAAAACCTTCTGGAAGGGATTCACCTTCTTGGATGCCATTAAGAGCATTTGTAATTCATGGGAGGAAGTAAAAAAATGAACAGTAAAAGTTTAGAAAAAGTTGATTTTGAGGATTTCAAGATTTCAGTGGGGGAAGTAACTGGAGATGTGGTAGAGATAGCAAGAGAACTATAATTAGAAGTAGAGCCTGAAGATGGGACTGAATTGCTTGCAATCTCATGATCAGGCTTGAATAGATGAGGAATTGCTTCCTTATGGTTGAACTAAGAAAGTGGTTTCTTGAGATAGAATCTATTCCTGGTGAAAATGCTGTGAATATTGTTGAAATGAAACAAAGAATTTAGAACAGTACGTAAACTTAGTTGATAAAGTAGTGGCAGGGTCTGAGACGATTTACTCTAGTTTTGAAAGAGTTCTACTGTGGATAGATGCTATAAAACAGTATCACATGCTACAGAGAAATCTTTTGTGTAAGAAAAAGTCAATTGACACGGAACACTTAACTGTTGTCTTATTTTAAGAAATTGCCAGAACTACTCCAATCACCCACCACCCCAATCAGTCAGCAGTTGTCAACACAGACCACCACTGGCAAAGGGATTCACATGTTAGTTGTAGCTTATTTTGGTAGATTCTTTAATATTTTATACACAGATAATCATATTACCTGCAAATAAGACAATTATCTTTCTTCCTTTTCACTAGATAGGAAGGACCATTTTTCTTTTCTTTCCTTGCTGTGTGTTACTGCCTAGACAAGTGTTTATTATAAATGTGGTAATATTTGATGCCCTTGCCATTTAATTGTCCTAGTAGAAAAATGTTCAGTGTTTTGCCATTAAGTGTTTCACCATTGAGAAGTTGAGAAAGTTCCCTTCTGTTCTAGTTTGCCAAGAGATTTTTATTGTTGTTGTTGTTTTTGTTTATTTGTTTTTACCAAGAATAGGTGTTAGAATTTGTCATTTTGTGCATCTATTGAGATCATGCATCTAATGATGATCTCACTGTGAAATTGATACATGATTTGACACTGAAATACATTGATTTTTGATAATTAGGCAATCTTGAATTTCTAGGATAAATTCCACTTGTGCATTATATATACATACACCCATTCATATATATACACAAAATATATATGTATTCCCATGCATACAAATATATATACACAAATATATATATATATGTGTGTGTGTGTGTGTATGTGTGTATGCATATATTACTAGATTCTGTTTGTTAAAGCACTATCATGTTTTTGAGAAAAATTGGCCTGTAGCTTTCTTGTGATGTTGTAATGTTTAAGTAAGCCCCTCCTTAGAAAGGGGTATGTTCTCTAGGAGTATGAGGAACTAAAACAAGAAGAGAAAACAGGAAGACACTGATCTGAGGTCCCAGCATGACAACCATGCAGTAGTTGAAGTAGGCAAGTGGTTTACCATAGGGGTTAGAGAAGAGGGATTTCGAAGGAAAATGTCAGGATATCATAGAATAGAAAATATCTTAGGAGTTTTTAAAAAATAAATATGATAAAAGCAAAAAATGCCACAAAAATAAATGCAATTATAAACTCCAGGAGAAAAACAAAACAGAAATAAAACAACAAAACAAAAAACTGCAAGAATGTCATATATTCAACAGGAAGCTAACAAAATTCCTCCATTAAACACTTGATGCAAAAAATTAGACTCCACTTCATTTTTGTGCAGGAATGTTCTTCTCTGAATCTCCAGGATCTATGGCCTTGAGGTTCCGAGAAGAAGGTAGAATTCTGGCACATATTTTTGGCCTGCACTAAACAGTTTCATTGTGATAATACTGATTCATGGTTTTCATGTTTTAGAATCACCCTAAGAAGGATGTACGGAAGACTTGACTGATTGGAGGATCAAAATATGTTGGGGGGAAAATGTACAAGGAGGAGTAAGGACACAGATGTCCTGACTTTACACTGTGGGGGATTAGAAGCCACCATCAAACATCATGAAACAGGAATAAGAGTTGTAGTACATTGCTTAAGCTTTAAAAGGTAACCAAAGGAAAAACCAACATAACACGCCGTAATTGTAAGACATGGGGAAGGGAATATAAAAGCAGAGGGTATATATTTTAGTTCCATTTTGAGATGTTTATCCAGTATTATTCAGCTGGTCAGCTGCAAGTGTACAGGAAGCTTGATCAAAGAACAGACTGAGAAGAAAAGACATTTGCCAGGTTTAAGGAAAGAAACTGAGGGGAAAATAACACCAGTGCAGAATGTAAAAAATAGAAGTAGCAAAGAAAAGAATTAATACTGCAGAAACCTGAGTCAGGGGGCTGGGAGTATGAACAGGCTTTAGACAGTCTTGGAAGATGCAAAGGAAAATGAAAAATAAATAACAACCACGAGAGAAAGGAAGGCATATATGGAAGGCTATTGGGGCACGCTTGCCATAGCAACACGTGGGCTGACCGACCTAGAGCATACAACAAGTGGAAACCAAAATAGCATGCAGTTACACAACAAAAATCATCTTGAAATGAAGAGAAAACTAAATTGACAGAAATGACTGGGCTTACTGTGTTCTGAATAATATATACAATAAGGCCTGGTGAAAATTATTAAAATTCAAGGATGAATCCAACAAACATCCAGGCCTGAAAAGCAAATTGCAAAGAAAATTTAAAATACCGTGGTTTGGTCAGAATTTCCTCAGCAACATCAGATTCCAGAAAGTCTGAGAAAATAGGTCAAGAAGATTTGTGATGGAAAAACATGTGATCTGAGAATACTATATTCAGTCCACTTGTTTGTCTTTAGTAAAAGCTGTAGGAACAAGTCTCCAACGTACAAGGACTCACACCCATTTGCTTTTTTATTTTAGCAAACCAAAAGATCCACAAAAGAAGAGGCTGTCTTATGAAAGGACTGATCATAGAACCAAGCCAAATAGTACTGATAATTAACATTACAAGACTGCATCAAAATATTCTTATTCTAGGGAGAAGAGCTGCACAATATAGAAATAATTACAGCTAAAATTAGTAGGGTCAGAAATATCAGAGCACACAAATTTAGAGAAAAGTGTGTGATGAGGATGGAACCAGAGATAATGATAGTATGTAGAATCTTCATCTTTTGTAGAAAATACTAAAACATCTTGCTTCATATCTGAAACTGATAATTGATAAATACATGTTTAAAGATTTTATATAAAGTTAAAACATAGCCACCACCAGAAATATAATCTAACTGTACTACATCCAAATTACCAGATGGGAAAAAAATAAAACAGACCTTATATAGAGCAAAAGAGAAAGAGGAAGAAAACATTAAAAAGACAAAGTATAAAATACAGCAAAGTAAGAGTAAATATGTCTACTGTAGCAACAAATACTCAGTTTAATAGTTAAATGATCTTATAGTTGTCCAAAACCCACAAGTTTTGCAGGTGTTGTATTAAAGAGAGGTATTTAAGAATGGCCCAGTCTGAAGGTAAAAGTTTGGAGATGTCATACAAATACAAGCAGAAATAAAGTAGGGGTAAACACAATGATATATCAACGAGTTAAAAATCACATTAAATGCTGATTAGTAATACATTAAAGCCCTTGACAGCACAGATTCTGCTTCATACATTGCTGGTGGAAATATAAAATAGTGCAGCCACTCTGGAAAACAGTTTGGCAGTTCCTCAAGAAGTTAAAGATAGTCTTACCATATGACCCAGCAATTTTACTCCAAAGTGCATATCCAAGAGAATTGAAAACATATGTTCACCCAAAAACGAGTATATGAATGTTCATAAAGGTATTATTCATATTAGCCCCAAAGTGGAAACAATCCAAATGTCTATCAACTGATGAAGGGATAAATAAAATGTGGTATATCTATACAATGGAATATTATTCAGCTATGACAAGGAGTGAAGTAATAACACTTGCTAAAATATGGATGAACCTTAAAAGCATTATGGTAGGTGAAAGAAGTCTGGCACAAAAAGCCATATATTGTATGATTCCATTTATATGAAATGTCCAGAATAGGCAAATCTATATATAGAGAAAGCAGATGAGTGATTGATAGGGGCGTGTGGGTGAGTGAGATTAGTATTGATTGCTAATGGTACAAGATTTCTATTTTGGGTAATGAAAACGTTCTGTAATTAGATAGCAGTGATGGCTACACAACACAGTGAATATGCTAAAACTCACTGAAATGTATTATATACTAAAACTCACTGAAATGTATTATATACTAAAACTCACTGAGTTGTATTATATTTAAAGTGGCAAATTTTATAAGTGAATTCTATCTCAAAGCAAATAATTTTAAAAAGAGCAAGGAATCTAGAACCAGGGTTGAAGAACACTTCTGACCCTCTCTTTATGGTGCCTAGAGCTTGGTATTAAATGTCCTTGTACCTCAGTTCCTAATCTGTATAATGAGAATAATAATATCTACCTCATTTGTTGTTGCAGGAATTAAATGACTTAATATTTTTGAGATTCCTGGTGTATCAGACCATTCTCATGCTGCTACTAAAGATATACTCAAGACCGGGTAATTTATAAAGGAAAGAGGTTGAATTGACTCACAATTCAGTATGGTTGGAGAGGCCTCAGGAAACTTACAATTATGGTGGCAGGGGAAGCAAACATGTCCTTCTTCACATGGCAGCAACAAGGAGAAGTGCCTAGCAAAAGGGGGGAAAAGCCCCTTATAAAACCATCGAATCTCATGAGAACTCACTCAGTATCACAAGAACACCATGAGGGTAACTGCCCCATGATTCAATTATCTCCCCCTAAGCCCCTCCCACAAAACATGGAAATCATGGGAACTAAAATTCTAGATGAGATTTGGGTGGGGACACAGTCAAGTCATATTACCTGGCATAGCTAACGCTATATAAGAGTTGTTACATAAAATGTAAAAAGTAAGTAGGTCTAAGAGCATGTCAGAGTGATGTAATAATTCAGAACAAAAGAGCAACTGTCTTGGATGGTTTTGAACAAAATCACAAAATATTCACTTCGATAAAGGATGAAAAAGAAATGACAAACTCTACAGCTATAACGGTGGTGCCTCATGCATCTCTCAGCCCTTGACTCACCAAGCTGACTGAAGAAGTCTCAGCCATGGACCTCACACCAATGAACATCCTTTTCACAGAACACAAATTAGGCCATCAAAATGTTGGTAGGTTCAAAAACTAGATATACTACAAGTTATATTCATTGACCAATTTAGGAATAGTATCAGATAACAACAGAAAAATGCCCATTTGTTATTCTAACCATTTATCAATTAAAACAATAACACTAGTGTTCAAAAACCAGAACAAAACCAAACCTTTAGGCTGAAGACTAAAGCAAAACTGTAATTATAGAATAGCTTGTACTCAGTACAGTACCAAGAGGAAAAATTCATATTCTTTACCCTTTAAGAGTCAAAACAAAAAAGACATTAAATTAAGTAATTCAGGATTAAGAATTACAAGAATTAAACTAAAAAAGTGGATTAAAAAGCAACACATTAGAGCCAAGTAATGATAAAAGCTGAAATGTGATGAGCTAGGAACCACATAAATAAATAAATAAAATAAAACTAAGAGCTGGATTAAACTATGGTAAAATAAATCAATGATAAAGCCTAAAAAATATAAAAGTATACTGGTAATAAGGAGAAAGTGAAAGAACCACAAACAGAATTAAAAGACAGAAGAGACCACTTTGTAAAGTTCCGGTGTAAAAACTTTGACCACATGGATGAAATGGATAATTTTAAAAAGAATGATGAAGATGAGTCTTGATTGAAGAAGGAGAAAAGCTAAATAGACAAATACCATGGTACAGGTCTGTGAAAGAGCCACTCTCAAATAGTTGTAGGCGTAGGCATTCTCCTTTCTTTTATTAAACTTTCAAAGCACGTCTATGAAAAATCAAGAGAATTCTAGAATTCTCATAACACAAGGAACATAAATATATCTTTCAAAAACAATACCTACCATTAGGCTTAATGGCAAAAAAAAAAAAAAAAACATTTACAACAAAATGAATATGAAGACACAGGTGTCTTCTATTACTACGATTATTTAACTTTTAATGAAATTTTAAAAGCTTCTCCAAAATTTTCGCAGTAAAATAGATATAGAAGTATCCTTCTCTAACTTGATTAACAAATACGTCTATCTCAAATGACAGATAGCACCAGCTGAGACACTAAAGAAATCCTTTAGGCCAGGCACGGTGGCTGATGTCTGTAATCCCAGCAGTTAGGGAGGATGAGATGGACTGATCACCTGAGGTTAGGGGTTTGAGACCAGTCTGGCCAACATGGTGAAATTATGTCTCTACTAAAAATTACAAAAACTGGTCAACATGGTGAAACCCCGTCTCTACTAAAATTACAAAAAAATTAGCTGGGCATGGTGGTGTGTGCCTGTAATCCCAGCGACTCAGGAGGCTGAGGCAGGAGAATTGCCTGAACCCAGGAGGCGGAGGTTGCGGTGAGCCGAGATCGCGCCATTGCACTCCAGCCTGGGTAACATGAGTGAAACTCCGTCTCAAAAAAAAAAAAAAAAAAAAAAAAAATTACAAAAACTAGCCAGGCATGGTGGTGCATGCCTGTAATCCCAGCTACTCCTGAGACAGAGGCAGGAGAATCGCTGGAACCCAGGAGGCAGAGGTTGTAGTGAGCTGAGATTGCGCCACCACACTCCAGCCTGGGTGACAGAGCCAGACTCTGTCTCGAAAGTAAATAAATATAAAATAAAAAATCTTTTAAAGCCAATAATAAAAGTATGTGCTTAATCACTGCTTTTATTTAATAGAATTCTGGAATTGTGAGGCACTGTAATTAGATAGGAAAGTGACGTAAGAATATATATTGAAAAAGAAGAGGCATACATCACTATTTTTGGATGATATAATTATGTATCTGAAAAGCCTAAAAAAATCAACTAAAAAACTATGAGTCTCAGCGCTTGATTGAGAAATATCGGAGAGTACAGACTTAGTTTGTGGCACTGAAGATACAGGAGTGAGTTGGAGAGAGTCCTGCCCTCCTGGAGTTTGTATTTCAGCTGGGGAGATGGGAAGTGGCATAGAAAAAAAAACAATAAGTGTATAATGTAATTGTCAGAGGCGTGTGAACCAGAGCAACTCCATCTCGAATAGGAGCTGGGTAAAATGAGGCTGAAACCAACTGGGCTACATTCCCAGACGGTTAAGGCATTCTGAGTCACAGGATGAGATACGAGGTTGGCACAAGATACAGGTCATAAAGACTTTGCTGATGAAACAGGTTGCAGTAAGGAGACGACTGAAACCCACCAAAACCAAGATGGCCACAAGAGTGACCTCTGGTTGTCCTCACTGCTACACTCCCACCAGTGCCATGACAATTTACAAATGCCATGGCAATGTCAGAAAGTTACCGTATATGGTCTAAAGAGGGGAAGCATGAATAATCCACTTTTCATTTAGCATATCATCAAGAAATAACCATAAAAATGGGCAACCAGCAGCCCTTGGGGTTATTCTGTCTATGGAGTAACCATTCTTTATTCCTTTATTTTCTTTCTTTCTTTTTCCTTTTTCCTTTCTTTTTATTTTTTTTTTTTTGAGACAGAGTTTTGCTCTTGTCTAGGCTGGAGTGCAATGGGGCAACCTTGGCTCACTGCAACCTCCACCTCCTGGGTTCAAGTGATTCTCCTGCCTCAGCCTCCCAAGTAACTGGGACTACAGGTGTGCACCACCATGACTGGCTAATTTTTTGTATTTAGTAGAGACTGGGTTTTATCATGTGGGTCAGCCAGCTCCCGAGCTCCCAACCTCAAGTGATTCATCCGCCTCGGGCTCCCAACGTGCTGGGATTACAGGTGTGAGCTACCTCACCGGGCCGATTCCTTTACTTTCTTAATAAACTTGCTTTCCGTTACTCTGTGAACTCGCCCTGAATTCTTTCTTGTATGAGATCCAAGAACCCTCTCTGGTGGTCTGGATCGGGTCTCCTTGCCTGTAACATAATGTCAGGTATTGGTAGAGACTACAAAGAAAGACCAACTAGGGGAAGAGCCTGGAGAACAATGAGAATGTTGTGTTAGGCAAGGAGGCAAGGGACTGCAACTCCCCTAAATATCTTCCAACCTGAGCACAATGCCAGTCAAAACCCTGATGCAACTTTAGGAGGCCAAGGTGGGTGGATCTCCTGAGGTCAGGAGTGTAAGACCAGCCTGGCAAACATGGCAGAACCCCATCTTTACTAAAAATGCAAAAATTAGTGGGACATGGTGGCACCTGTAGTCCCAACTCTGAAGGCTGAGGCAGGAGAATAGCTTGAACCTGGGAAGTGGAGGTTGCAGGGAGCTGAGATCTTGCCACTGCACTCCAGCCTGGGCAACAGAGTAAGACTCCGCCTCAAAAACAAATCAAATCAAAACAATACAAAACAAAACTCCCTGATGTAATCCCTTCCGTTCCCACCTCTTCTCTCCTTACTGAGTTTGTTTTTTTTTTTGGAAATTGACAAAATAATCTTAAAGTTTATCTGGAAAAATAAAAGTGGAAGAATAGAACTAACACTCTTGAATAAAGAGTGATGGGGATGGGAGTGGGGGGGAAGTAAAAGTATTATATTGAGATATTTAACAAATTATATTACTAAGCAACTAGTATCAAAATAATGTGGTACTTTCTCCTTAAATACACCGTGAGATCCATGAAATTGAATGCAAAGACTGAGCACATACTTAATTGCCGATTTTAAAGAGTTTCTTTAGTGTTTCACCGGGTGCTGTCTATCAATTTGAGACAGGGATATTTGTTAATCAGGCTAGGGAAAGATACATCTATATCTATTTTACTGAAAAAATTAGGAGAAGCTTTTAACATTTTATTAAATGTTAAAAAATGGTAGTGAATGAAGACACCTGTGTTTTCTGACTCATTTTAATCTAAATGTTTTGTTTTTGCCATTAAGCTTAGTGTTAGCTATTGTTTTTGACAGATGTAAATGAGTTGAGTGTATAAGAAACTTGGTGTCCTAGCTATAACAGGTATAACATATTCAATGCCATTTCAGCAGACATAAAAATGTTAATACAAATTAACACATTTTATTTATTCACATACTGCATTTTAAGTGTGATTGGGAATTTCATATTCCTCTGGTTCCACACTCAATAAATCCAGCAATCACATTCTTGCATTCTTTCGATTTAAATATAAAATTACACTGGTTGCTCCCAACTGTAATCCCAGCACTTTGGGGGGCTGAAGCAGGCAGATCACCTGAGGAGAGGAGTTCGAGACTAGCCTGGCCAACATGGCGAAACCCCATCTCTACTAAAAATACGAAAATTAACCTGACATGGTGGTGCATGCCTGTAGTCCCAGCTTGGGAGGCTGAGGCAGGAGAATTGCTTGAACCTGGGAGGCAGAGGTTGCAGTGAGCTGAGACTGCGCCACTCCACTCCAGCCTGGGTGACAGAGTGAGACTCTGT